GCAAACTGTAAAACGTAGGGACATTGATCTCTGGAATTTCAGGAATATTTTGGGTTTCAGTTGGCATGAAAAGAGAGGCATCACCTTGTTTACCACCATCTACAAAGGCACCATGACAGACTACACAGTAAACATGTGTATGGTTGACAAATCAGATATGCAAATCAGTGTTGTGGAGTGCCTCAGTAAGTCTGTCCAGTGGTATAAGAAGATTTTCCTCCATCTTGTTGACGTTGTCCTCTTTAAGGATGAAGTTGTGGGTGTTCAGTTACAACATTGTTCTGTAAATCCTCAAGAAATATGGAACTTCCACACCAACAAAACCAGGACAACATCAATTATCTGCACCTGATTGGAGTTATAAAACGTGAAAAATAATCATTGGATATATAATTGAAGGACCTTCTAAGATTATGATTGTCAACTCTTTTTTTGGTTACAAACTATCTTCATTTGTAAAAAAAAAATATGTATTTAATGCTTTGGTGAGCTTTCAAGATTAAATGTTATAGTATAATAGATTTTTCTGATTTTTCAACAAATGTTTAATATATACGTTTGAATCATTATAAAGTGGCATGACTTTAGTCTTGTACACATCATTACCAACTAGAAATGATATATTTACCAAAAGGCATATATCTCTGTGTGTGTTGCAATATTTCCTAATTCCTGACCTATATTTTCATTGCTATTGATCTTTTATTCTAACAGCTTTATAAGGGTACTAGTGGTTTGGTCACTTGACATCCACTACTGCCCTTTGCATTTTCCAAAATTATTTAACATGTTATTGGTCTTGTGGTTTAAAAAGTTAGATACATTGATTGGGGTGTGGTCTCAGACAAGTATTTTAGCAATAGGACTGAAAGAGTGATCTATCTGTATTAAACGTTCGTTTTTCGAAATGGTGAGAATATTACTAATCGAACCTATGTGTATAAGGTTCCAAGTTGTTTGTTATTAAGCACAAAGTTACACAAAGGGCTATATGTGCTCTTTCCACCACGGGTATCGAAACCCGGTTTCTAGCAGTATAAGTCAGGAGACATACCACTGTGCCACTGGGGGCCTTAAGGCTCCAAACTAGCAGAAAACAAGTTCTAGACAAAGACTTATGAATAGTAATGGTTAAACATAACTATATTCATAGATCCTATAAGCTTTAGCAGAACAAACCAGCTTATACAGCTAAACATGAAATTATGATATATCATTTAGAGATTTGAATAAGCATCCTTTTCTATGTTAATAGACGTTATACAATATATTAATTATAGACATGAATTAGCAATAAGTGTGTTTTGTATAAAACACCAGAAAATGTAAAAGTATGTCATGTAAGTTAAATATAGAAGCAAAAACTATAAAAATAATGAAGTATTGCACAAAGTGTTTTATAAATCAAGTGAAGAGTAATTGTAAAAGTATGTAAAGTAAATTATAGAGTTTAATATTTCTCTCCTTCAAATAATGAATAAATTAAGATAGTGCATGTAATAAAATCTAACATATGTAACAATTAGTTATCTCATTAATAGAATAATTAAATCTAGATTATAATATTGATTATGTAATCACATATTGAGACAGGTTGAGACACCTGCTCTAGGAGTACTAACCCTAGTAACATACTTTGCCATCCATCTATAGAATCTTAGTAACACTGGCTGGCTATGGAACAGCATCCACATATAGAACCTTAGAAACACCACCAGTCTATAGAAGCTCAACATAAGATCATCTACCTATAAAATCTTAGTAAGATCATCCATTTATAGAATCTTGGTAAGATCATCCACCTATAGAATCTTAGCAACACCATCAGTCTATAGAAGCTCAACATAGGATCATCCACCTAGTGAACCTCAAGAACAGCATCTGCCTATAGAACCTTTGTAAAACAATCCACCTAGTAACACCATCTGCTTTTGCAAAACGTATGCAAATAAATATATAAACATAAACTATAAACACAAGCTGGGACAAGTTGAAATCTGTGTGCAATCCTATGGAAGTATAGTAACACTGTCTGTCTATAGAAACACCATCTGCCTTTGTAAAACACATACAGTGTTCCTAGTAAAGCCATCCATCTATAGAACCTGAGTAAATTCATCCACCTACAGAAGCTTAATAACACAATCCATCTACAGATCCTTGGTAATGGCATCCACTCTAAGGATTATAACTTCTAGCAAAACGCTCTCTGGCAGCAGACAATTTACGTCGTCAACTGTCGAGACAGCATGGTATCTTCCTGCCCTCTGGTGCTACTTTGTGAATCTATGACGTCACTTCTGACACAGGGGTACAGTGGTAACTACTAAAAATGAATATATTAAATCAGTTTTTTTCGCAAGAGAAAAACACTGAGGTGAGTGAAAAACTAAAATAATTCCAAATGGATACATTTTGAATTGTATTAAAAGCAAGCATATTTCTTGCACAATATTAAAGTATATAAATTAACCGCCTTTTCACCAGCTTATAGTCACGTTACACAACGTTCAATATTACTCATTTAATATACACACAAGTATATCTCATTCGATCTATGCCCATATATATATTAATATCTTTACAAATACTGTTACTCCTTTATATTAGCCCCTATCCACCTTACATCTGTTTATTTTAGAACTGGCCTGTTATCTTGAGCATTAAAAATATCTACATCAAAATGTTTTTGGTATTTACGTATCTTCCTTAATCTTTACGTAGACTCTATATGTAGCGATGGCCAAGATACTCAATAGGCATGATAAAAATATACATGCTACAAAATCAACAATGACGGAGAGTTTTAGTTTAAAACATGATTGCCACTCACTTTTATTTAATATTTAACCAACAAGCCCCAATACAAGGCAAGAAACCATCGCTAAAATACGAAACCAGAAAGTGACCAATACACCAAATTATTCATCTTTTTTCTTGTTTCAGTCGAGATCACTCTACAACTATTTTATCACTCACGTCAGTTAAAGTCTAAATCAATTCTATGTGTTTCTGGGCAGTGCACGATGTCATCTGTCATCGCTTAGTCTTAATTAATAGTAGTAATAAAAAATCATGAAGTTAGCTTTTTTACAGAAATCTCGTTTTCCTTTGAATAATAAATGAACATTGGATGACTGTAACATGTATACTACTCAATGATTTGTACATTATACAATCGGTGTCTTTAGGGAGCCAACCCCTATATGAAGTGCAGAAGTAAAAAAAAATCAGTACACATAATATTAAATTTTATTACACATATTCATAGAATACACTAACTTTCAGTGGGGGGGGACGTCACAAAACAAGTAATGAAAATATTAAATGTAAAATAATGTGCGAACGACAGTGCCCTCCAAAATGCAAACAATAATATAGGGATGATACAGCTGCACATATATCATTCCCACATGATTTTCAATATTAAAATGTAATGCTACACTGTAAAATGCATACTTGACTATAATGTTACTGCAGTTAGAAACTATATATTTCTGACTGTTGATATGCAGTTTGTTTATCATAACAGTCTGTTCATGTCAGGGTAGACATCAGTGTAGAGCAAGTAAGAGCCTAGGACTTACGTACCAGGAAAACCAAGTTGAGTCAAAACATGTCTTGGTTATTACAGACTGCTACAGACTCTAACTACTAGATCAGTCAAATTGACCGACCTCGCAGTCATTTTTATACTCGTGCATTTTGCAGTGTAGCATTAAAGTTTAATATTGAAAGTTACGTAGGGAAGATCTATTTATAGCTGAATCATCCTTATATTCTTATTTGCATTCTTTTTGGCACTGCCATCCCTACATCATTTTACATTTACAAAATGTTTTTTATTACTTACTTATGTTATTAACCAGATTCTACTGAGTTTAACATTTACTAACTTTTTTCATACTTCATAACGGAAGTCTAATATTCTACTCATTTGGTTTATGTAATCTTATTCTTGCGACAGTGCAGCCTCTATGAACATTTGAGTTATGAAAACGATTGCCCTATTTGATTGATATTTTTTTGGGAATTGCACACTTAAGGTGTTAATTAGTTTGTAAAGCAATGAATATGCCCAAAGAAATAAATACAACAAATAAATAAACTTCATGACAAGTTTTCAAAACACCGAGAAAAACTTATTGATGTATATATATATTTTTCGTGTATTGAAGTCTGATAGTGCAGAGTTGTTAATTGAAGGTTCTTCTGCCACGAACTTCTATAACATTTTAATTTGTAATATACCATTTACATGTGCATGTTTACTTTCACTTCATACAAAAGATTTTATTCTATTTTATTACATTTGGGACAAAAATTCTTGAGATATTCTTTAATTTTTGAAGCGTGAGATGAGAGTAGCATAGTAAATGTACATGATGTATACACACATTGTTTACGATTATAAGTAAATTAGCTTTCAATAAAATGATAAAATTATAAAAATAGTGTTTGACTGGCTAAACTGGAACGAATTTCTACAATTATATTTACAGTTCCTTTGGGGTTTGCTTCTTCACAGTGTTATTTGGAATCAGACGTAATTGCTTTTGTACACCTAATAAAAACTATCAAACAAATCAGTAAACCATATAAGAGTACGCGCGAGCCTTTTGAAGAAAAGGAATATTGTAAACTTAATTTACATAAAATGAAAACAAGTAAATTGGCAGATATTTGGAACAAGATCAATAGAGGTTTAATACTAACAAAAGCTACGTTTGAAGTACTCATTTCAATATTGAAGACTACTTGAAGACCAAAGAAATAGTTCGTGTGTATTTTTCGTCGAAACATGAATGTTTGCTTTGAATAACAGAATACGCTATAAATACATTAAACGATATTATTAAACAGTGAATATTTGTATAAAGATAAAGTATGATTCAATAGCTAATATTTTTTTAGGACAGACTGTTTTATTTTTCGATATTTTTGAAAACGTGTGAATAGGATTTACTGTATTATGTAAAAAGTGACTACTTGAGACTTTATTCTCACCAAAATGTATTTATTTCCTCAGTCAGTTGACATATCACAGACAAATAAACCAAGCATAAATCCACTCACAGCTTAAAAGCGGTTTGCAAGCGGATGAAGTTCATGCATTACAGAGTTTTGTATTTTCATACAAATAAATATCAGAGATGTAAATACTTATCTTATATATTTATATGCTTATGTATATAACATAAATGTCGTTGAAAACTAAGGTACGTAAAAAAAACGAACACAAGATTTTTTGCGTCTTTTTTTTTGCGATTACCTAAAAGTCTGTTTTGATTTTGACGTACAGAAATTACATGGTTCAAAGATTAGTTTTGGAACATTATTTCTTCACGCTGAACTACAGAAAATTCATTGATTCTCTATATTTAACAAATAGTTGGACAACGAAGGCTTTTTCTTATATTTTTGACACAAAAAGAACCATTATAAATGCTTAATAATCAGTTAATTAATACTTTTAAACATGAAAAAAAAAAGTTTTACCTGTGTGTTGCAGCTGGTTGATTGGCAAACAATATCTTTAGGTTTAACATTAAATAACGCTTGGCCAATGTTTACTTTATTTGATTGTTTGAGATAATTGAGTAGGACCACACGTCCATAAGTTTTAGCTGATAGCCTAGAGAGAAGGCAGTTAGTCAAGATAACTCGTTTCCAAATATTCGGCTACTTTAATCAAATAGTGGGATTTGACCGTCACACATATATGACTCTCAAGTTACGGAGCACGATTTTACGGCAACGAGAAACAAACCACCGAGCCATGCTGAGCCTCAGTCTTTGACAGTCGGCTTAGCAATAATTGTTTTTAAGCTTAAATATATAAATTAAATTCTAGTTTTAATTTTACCTAGCTAGTTGCCAAAAATGTTTTAGGTTTACTCAAAATAAAGGTTTTTCTCTCTCTTGTCTCAGTTCTATGAGTTTCAGAATTATAAATGTAAAATTCGGGGATCGAACCTTGCCGTTCGCACAGTACAAATATACCATTGTGCGGTTTTCTGCTCAGCTACCAAGAAACAAATAAAGAAGAGCGAATGTTTGTGCTCGTTTCACAACAAGTTGACTAAGGAATGTATATTAATTCAAACTTGAGAGTCAACTTCTTTGTTCTCTGAGAAAAAATTAAACACTTTGTTTTGAAGTTCTATAGCAAAATGAAGTTATATATATATATATATATATATATAGTTATTTATTTAACAACAGGTGCGTTGATAAATATGTTTTGAAGCTCAAATATGAAAATTAACTTACTTAACATTTAGTAGGCTAAAGAGGCAAGTTTCATATGCTTAGACATTTTGGAATGTTGAAAATATCTAGCCATCAGTCAGGAATACACATAAACATTAAGATATAAAGTAATTCACTTTTCTATACTGTACTTAATACGGCACACTACAGGTTTCCATCATTTGTTAACTACATGTATTTGATAATAGACTTAAATCCAACAACTTTCTAATTCATCCAGTTTTTTAATCCAAATAACTTTCTGTGATGAAATCTGTTCTCCACTAACTCTCCAGTCGGTGGAATATACTCACAGTAACTCTGCCAGGTCATAGCAAGTAACATCACCAAACTGTAGTTTTCTGAATTTTATTGTTTCTCCCGTGTGTATTAGTTTATCTGTGTAATTTGGTGAAACGTTTTTCTTATGAGGATTAGTGCGAGTTTGTAGATTTTTATAACAGTTTTATTCCACAAAGTATACGTAATAGTAAGGTTTCAGAATGAAGACACATATATTTGCTAGTTTGTTCCTCCGTCTCGGAAGAGATTGAGCACAGCCCAGGGATACGAAGTAGTGTCGAATTAACAACATAAAAAAACAACAACGTGTGAAAGAACTGTCGTTCTGGAGGTCATCTTCTTACAAAACTCACCACAAGAAGTACGAAGATACACTTTACCAACAAAGTTGTAGTGTCAGAACTGCTGGATGCAGAGGAGCTGGTATCGTGCTGCATGGCCGCAGATTTTTCACCTGTATTGGATGAAATTTGAAAATATTATACATTAAATCATATATTTTATATGTAAATTCATTACTACGACATAAATCACAAACAGTTTGAGTTCATCTTAACGATGATTCTTTTACATATAACTGACGTTATAGAAACGTCTCACTATGGAATAACATTTTTTGAATATTTGATGAAGAATTTCCAGTAAATGGATTAAACAACAGAGAGTAGAGGAAATTTATTCTTACTTTCAGGATATTTATGTTCGGTTAACATACGTTTCTTATCTACAAGGTGTAAGAGCTTTTTACCAATGTTGAATGTGAATCAACGTTAGTCACTACAGATATGCCTCAATAAGTTATTATGTCTGGGAGATAAATTATTGCCGTAAGACCTTTTGAGAATGAATACTAATTTGAACACCTATAAGCATGACAGGGGGTGAGTTACACGATCTTGGGATGCATCATTTTTTTTATTTTTCTGTATGGTACCTTACATATCAGTAAATCCACTGTTAGTTCAGCGACAAGTCTGAGATCTTACAACGCTAAATTCGGGATTTGATACTCGCGATGGGCACAGGTAGCTTTGTACCTAATAACAAAGAAACAAACATAACAGTAAACTATACGAAACATTTTACTTCAGATTGTTTGAATTTCGCACAAAGCTACTCTGGAGCAATCTGTGAAAGTTGTTCCTAATTTCAAATGACAGATTAGAGAGAAGGCTACTCTTTATCAACAAAAAGTTTATTGGATTGTCAATTATAACGCTCCTACTGAAAGGAAGATCATATTTGTTTTGGGGATTCGAATCTGCGATCCGTAGATTGCGAATCGAGCACACTTACTACCAGGCCATGCCAGGTCGGTTTGACTTCAGAATGCTGTTTTTAAAATTATGTCCTGATAGCATTAGTACTTATTTTTCATATTAGTTATTAGCAAACAAACCATAGATATGCAAAAAATGAAATAAAATAATTTGAAAATTTCGTAGGTTGTATGGCGTCAAGTTTAATATACTATGAAAATAATCTGCACAAGAATACAGTCACGTGCTGATAGCTTACACTGTGATTGGCTGTCATCAAGCCAATAAAGTAGTGTCACACCAGCAAAGTGCTAATAAATGTACACTACTGTTAGCAGTAATGTGTACTGTACACTCATGTCTTTCACGAAAAAAAGTGCCACATGAAAGGTTTGATCGCTGAAGATTATTTTATGCAACAAATTAAGATAAAATTGCACTATTCAGTAACGGTGGGGTGGAAGGAAACACCTCAGAGAGTACATAAAACTAGTATTTTTAAGATACAAGGAGTTGAAATAGAAACCCCCAAAGTGATGCTAAGTATCTCAGACTATTATATCTACCCGACACATAAGAATCCAGTAGATTTATTATCAATGTCGAAGATGCCAATACAGATTTGAATATTACCTCCAGTTCAGCAAGATACATAATAGTGCGAAGTTCCATCAGAGGATATGTAGCTATTGAAATACTAATGCTTAGTTAAGCTAACCAAACTAATATGCTCAACTGGACATCAAACTTCAACTAATGGAATGAGTAAGGCTGGAGGATAGTGCTCTATACAGATTTAGCCAAATTCAAATTGTTTACAGACAATCTATGATAGTGTGTTTGATGGTAGAGAGGATAAAGGAATCACTGTCAACGTAAAACATCGACAGTGAAGCATGCTGGGTACTGATACAAACGTGGACTGTATCTCAGGCAATTTGTTTTTCAAAGTCTACAAAAAAATGGATACCTCGACTGCTCACAGGTACAAACTGATTTTTGTCCATCATGACATTCTTTCAGGAGTAAGACCTGTAAGGCAGGATTTCAACAAGACAGTGGTCCCAAGCATTCAGATGAAAAAAAGCCAATAGAACACTCGCAACCATGGCTAAATTTGATATTAATATCATTAAAGCTGTATGAGTTAATATGAAATCTGAGAAAGTCACACATCAACCGAAAAATTAGACTGAATTCTGAGAAATAATCCAGGGTATTTGAAGCAATCTTTAATACTTATACATTGATCATTGACACACGTATGGTATCAGGTATTTGGAACAATACTTAACAATTATACATTGTTCATTGACACACGTATGGTATCAGGTATTTGGAACAATACTTAACAATTATACATTGTTCATTGACACACGTATGGTATCAGGTATTTGGAACAATATTTAATACTTATACATTGTTCATTGGCACATGTATGGTATCAGGTATTTGGAACAATATTTAACAATGATACATTGATCATGGACACACGTACGGTAATCAGGTATTTGGAACAATATTTAACAATGATACATTGATCATGGACACATGTACGGTATCAGGTATTTGGAAGAATATTTAACAATATACATTGATCATTGACACACGTACGGTATCAGGTATTTGGAACAATATTTAACAATGATACATTGATCATTGACACACGTATGGCATCAAGAAAAAATATGCACATCTCTATTTAAATAAAATATGCTAGATCTGTTTGTTCTCTTTTCATTTGTATTTTCTGCAATAATATATTGTAATAATCATAAATTGGTCTTAAGATTACACTTAATCGTAGATTCTGTCGCCTGTTTGTGTATCATCTGCTCGTTTCCATATTTATCTCCAATACTATTGTGCATGTGTCAGTGATGTAGATGGACGCCACTATGTGTGTGTAGAGAGATGTAAATATATTTTACCTAAAATGTTTAATACCGAGTTCATTCGTTCGTAGATTAGGTTCGTTCTCTTATCAACCTAGTTATATAACATACGGCGTAATCTTTCATATATATACATATACATACACACACATATGTATATATATATATATATATACGTGTGTGTGTGTTTGCGTGTACATTAAATCTGAAGACATTACGTACTCACAGACATATATAACGTTTCGACACTGTTTATCTCAACTCATAGAACGTAAATTTATTTCCAGCATCTGACATCTAACATAAAATAGTTTGATGTAAACGATCGATATCAATAAAATTTATATTCCTTTTTAATATAATTACTCCTAAAGGTAGAATGTCTTTAAGATATCATTTAAGAAGGCTATTACAAATACTTGCCTCTAGAAAGAGAGAGAAGCTTTAGCTAGCTACTACTACTTGGCGATTGTGTTCAAAGTTGCATATCATTACAGATAATGTTATTTTTGTGGCTACTGAAATCTCTATAGCCGCTCTATATTTGGGTATATTTTTGAGAACTTACTAGGAGGTATGTTGAAGACAAAATGTACCAAGTCTTCTTGAAAGTGTCATCCATTTGAAAAAAGAAAAGATGAATCCATTGTTACTGGCATTTGAGCTAGTGCGACATCACCACATTCTTATCTCAGTGTTCGGTTATCAAGAACGCCTCGTAAATCTTCCAATAAAAGCGAGTACAAAGCATCTATATTATCATGCTGAACGTGAGGAATCAAAAAGAAGTAACTGATCTCCAAAGATACTTCCAAAACACTTTTAGTTTTTGCTTGTGGGAAATACCATAGTGACTGGGCATTATGTAGGAACGATTAACAACAATACAACCCCGGCCAAGTGCCAGCAGAAGATAAGAAAAAAACTTTTATATTCAAATTAATTTATTTAAAATTGAATATGCAAACACGCTCAAAAATACTGACTTTCCTCGAAGTATATCCAAGACAAGTTAAACAGTCAACTCTAATCGACGTGTTTTTCAATGAAACTTAATATGAGGGATTATAATTAATCTTAGAGGCTCATTACAATTGCTTCCTGTACTCTTTGATTAATGATAAATAATTTAATGTAGAAATAATTTCCTTTTTACTTCGAAATGGTGCAAAACTATATTATTTTTCTGGCCATGGCTTCCAGTTAAAGTAAAGTCTGTTCTCTTGTTTGACATATCTCTGTCTTCTTGAATAAGCTTTACACTTTTCGTTCTTTCATAAGACTCCTTCATCGCCAAAATTTAATATTATATTGATAGCTGCTTATGAAATGTGAACATTTATTATATTGGAAGAAAAACATTGAATATTGTGGTGGAAGATGGCAACACAAACTAAAGTTAATTTGTTACTAATTTACATAATGTTTACAAAGTAATGTGTAAAATGGTACATACCAGGTAATGCTAAGCCAAATGATATAAACACGATTCACAAACATGTTTCATAATGTTTCAAATTCATAAAGACCAAAATTATATTAGTTTTATTTTAACTTATTCAGGACACTATTTTACAAATTTGTTTAAATATATTCAATACTATTTTATTGATATAATTGAGAAATTTAAAATGATCTTCTAAAGTGATTCAAAAATGAAACTGTGTCGCTTGAATATATACAATTTTTATAGCACAAAGATTTGACGATTTTAGTTAGTCCCATTGTTGATCAAAAACCCTTAGTAAAAATAAATCAAGCTTCTTAATTACATAATCCTTACATTCTTTTCAAGAGACGCCGATAATGAAATAGATCAGCAAATGTACATAGAGCGATATATTAGCACTAATGTCAGGATCACATATTTTCGTCTGTAATCCTACATTCTCGGATCCCACTGAAGATGTTTCAAGGAAATGTCACATATGTCTATACTTTCCTCCAGTGGAATGAAGTGAGAACCACTTTCTATATTTATGAGAATTGTGTAATGTGATATATTTTTAGTTTATGTATCACGCAGGTAGAAATGGTAGAGACAATGATGCCGCTAAAAACATTTAAACAAATTTATAAAATAGTGTCTTGAAAAGGTTAAAATAAAACTAATATAATTTTGGTCCTTAGGAATTTGAAACATTATGAAACATATTTGTGAATCGTGTTTACATCATTTGGTGTTGAAAACATTCAGATTTGAGGTTATGTTTAAGTGCTATTGATGCATAAGTTCGTAACTTTTAAATAATTAATTACTGTATGTTAACTATGTATGAAATTTAGAATAGGTGTTATCTTTACTTTATGTTAGACTTATTTAACTACACGTTTAGATATTCTAATCAAAAGCATTTAATGTCAAAGGTATGACGTACGTATACTTAGTGGGGCACTTAGGAGATGTATCAGTTTACTTCTACGTTCCTAAAACTCTGCCAGTTTTAAGTTTAAAGCTATCGACGTTTTTCGTAAGATTTGATACTGCTTGCTCGCATTATTCCCTCAAATACGATAAGTATCGATATACACGGTGTCCCAAGAAACAGAGGCTCCCTTGTGATTTACTGCTTACTGGAGTTGGTAATGATAAGTTTAAATAATATGTTAATGGATTATTATTATTAGTGAAACCCACATTCCTAATAACTAATGAGGATTTACTAATTTACTAATCCTTTCTTTTTGATTTACAGGTATTTTGCATCCGACAACTGATCAAAGAATTTTTCTCATTGACAGAGTACAAAAGTGTATAAATGTGAATAAAGAACGCTTTCAGCATTTAATGTAATTGTAATGTTTGAAATATTTAATAAAACTCGTGTTATAATATTTTACATTATAAAATGTTTTCAAAACAATGGGGCCTCCTTATACTGGTGCACTCTGTATAATAATACAAACAGCAATGATTGTATATATATATAGATAGATAGATAGATATAGATTAATCGTGTTTGTATAAAGTGTGCAGATAATTTTTATCAATACCATTATAGAAATTGATTTGATAATGCTCATATCATAAGCTCACTAGGTGTTATAATAATTATATTTTATTGAAAGTTCCTTTTTTTGTGTGTTTGTGTGTCGACAGCTTGATGTTTTACTTCACACCATATACACACACACCCCACATATTTGAACACTATAATCCATTAGTGAGAAAGCTAACATCCAGTTAAATACAGTATGATTTCTTTATCTATTTAGCCCTTACCGTTCAACACATGAACATATACGCTGGTTGGTCCAGCATTGGAAGGGCCGCACGTGTAATTTCCACTGTCTGTTGGTTCAGCGTCTTTAATGTAGAGTGTGCTAATGGCCGTGTCTTCGCTGTTCTTCTCTACAGAAATCTTTCCCCGACTGGAGTCGTAGTTGATCATCCGCTGATTGTGGTACCAGAAAACAAATACAGGGGGTTCAGGGCTGTTGCTGATTACACAAGTCAAGTTAATGGAGCTTTTTGTCTTGACGTAGCGGATAGCTTCACCCTCTATCGTAGTCTCTGCCACTTTAAAATACAAACAAGAATTATCTGATTGTCAAGTTGAAAGATGTACAGAATACGCCACTGCCTAATGAATTTGACACTGTGGACTCTGTGTGGAGGTTTAGCAAGAATTCTTAAACGTATTAAGCGTCAAACACTCCAAGAAGTTGAGATCCATAAATAACATTTTATCCTTTACCTGACTCTCCAAAGTTTATTTCAAACAAATCTTTAAAATATTTCAGATTCAACTATACAATATTTTGAAAACATGCGTTAGCCAAAATACTTTTTATATTATAAGTTACATGAATCAACAAAGCAAGTAGTAGCTAACTTAGTATAAGAACAAATATATGTGTGTAATTTAGTATAAGTCATGCACAGAGACAAACTTGGAGTTGTCATTATTGAGTCAATAACTGCGTACGATGTATTCATAATATGTTTCTATATAGCAAAACAAAGTGCTTGGATTTAGGTTTGTGGTATTTCACTTTACCGATTTAGTCATTCATTTGATCACTAGATAGGTAACAACTGTAACCAAATTAGAGATTTCTGTATTTTCATAATACTTGAGGTTTGAAAAAGATTCATTATTAGTTTATATTATGTTATGTTATATCTTCGATGTTTATTATATATACATTTAAGTATTTATTTCATTATTTTTAGCATTTTGTAATAAATATGCTGTTGTTTTTTAGCTACATTTACGGATTTAGGACTAGCCTAAATATTCTATGCTGGCCAAACCTCAGGAGATATCATTGGGATTACGGCCGAAAATACCGCTAACAGCGAGGATACCCAACTGATGAACCAATGAATTCTAATCATTAGGAGTAAGAACCACACACACACACATATATATATATATATATATATACATATATTTATAAATAATCATTACTGGGTTATTATTATTATTTTAGTATTTTCCCTAATCAGTAGTTAACGGAAATTGTTATTTGAAGTTTTCCTTTAGAGCATGTCTGGAAATGTCCCACCAAACACCCTACATTTGGTAATGTCAGACATTTTTTGATAGTCAAATTAGATTCATTGTCGGTCAGTATACACGATAGTGCCTGTTACCTTGGCCTTTTATCGTGTAAGATGTTCGTCTGGTAATTTCTGTTGTTCCATCTTGTGAATGCCGAACGCACGTTTGGTTGGATATTTTCAAAGATCAAGCAGAGTTTCGAAGCAAAAGAACGTTACCATATTCTTTGTAAATAATAGTAACTAAAGGTAATTTAACAAATTAATCAAACAAACATATAGGATTCTTTGTATTTTGCAAGAAATCTTTCATTACGCATGAATGAAGTAAAATTATATGATTAACTGCACTTTTAAGATATTTATGGGTTACAAAATGGAAATAAAACCACTTTTTAAATTTAGAACCTACTATAAAATTACTTTTTTGTGTGGTGTCATCTGCATCCAGAATCTTATTGACTTCGAGGAAATAAAACTGTTTGTTTTTTGTTTGTTTTGTTGAATTTCGCGCAAAACTACAAGAGGGTTATTTGCGCTACCCCTCTTTAATTTAGAAGTGATAGACTAAAGGGAATTCAATAACACCCACGGCTAGCTCTTAGGTTACTCTTTACCAACGAAAAGTGTGATTAACCGTCACGTTAGAAATACTCCTCTCCACGGTTGAAACGGCGAGCATGTTTGATGTTAGAATTTGAATCCTCAATCCGTAGATTGGTATTGTTAAAAAACAAAAAACAAATGAAATAAAATTATTAGTTTGTTTAATATTGTTTAATTTAAACGTGTTTGCTAAGCATAGAAATCGAATACCTTGAAATTTTTAAAATTAATAACAAAATTTTATAGGCTTTTAGCTTATAAGAAAAGTCTGACGTTATAATATCTATAAAATGAAAATAATGAGAGAGTTATTTTGAAAATAGAATTTTTACGTATAAAAATATAAAACGTAAGCCCAATAAACTCTTATAATATTTTGGCAAATATGAGTGTATACGACAAAAAAAAAGACTGAAAAAATATATTTATTAACACGCGTTGCTGATTTTCACACACAATTTTTTACCTGTTCAAACTGTAATCACACACACACACAAATAATATGTTTAAACACAAAAGAGCGTTTTTTCTCAGCACAAAAATGAAATTATTTGAACAGCTTCAAAGTTTCCTTTCTAATATTTTATTTATTTTTATTAAGTAATCTAAGTGATCGTTGATGTACACGAGGTTGGCGATTTGTGCCGTTGTTATCTTCATCTCTGTTGTGTCTAATGTAGGCCTAAGACTGGAAGATATCACCCGTTTTTTTTTAGGATGAATGAAAGCATTTATATGGTACATTTTATTTGTTATAAAATAATCATTTTCAAAACTATAATTTGTTGAAGCCACTTAAATTGCGTTCGGTAGTGCCCGGAATTTTGGAGATTGCAAGGCGGGATCTATTTAGTGTGATATCAGAATACATTTCACGCATTAAGATGTGGATGCACTGAATCCTTTAGAATAGATGATGGGTTGGGTTATATGGTGATGCTATCTTACTGCATATCCTATGGATGGCGACAGACAGCCTCAGTAGCTTTAGTATAAATAAAACAAATGTGTTTTTGTTTTCGGGGTGAATAGAAACATAACTTTGGAAAGAAAGGAAAGATCATGTTGTTTTTTAATCAGGTATTTTGGACAAGATGTTAGGGAAAGATGGGGTAAGACGGCCACCTAAACTCTGATTACGGTTTCATAATTTCAAACAAATGTCATGAAAAAAGTTTGTTTGTTTTTGAATTTCGCGCAAAATTACACGAGGGCTATCTGCGCTAGCCGTCCCTAATTTAGCAGTGTAAGACTAGAGGGAAGGCAGCTAGTCATCACCATCCACCACCAGCTCTTGGGCTACTCTTTTACCAACGAATAGTGGGATTGACCGTCACATTATGACGCCCCTACGGCTGAAAGGGCGAGCATGTTTGGTGTGACAGGGATTCGAACCCGCGACCCTCAGATTGCGAGTCGAGCGCCCTAACCACCTGGTCATGTCGGGCCGTTCTTACCAGTAGACCTGTAACAAGAATATGTATCACCTTAACAAGCATATCATTTTAGACGTATGAAAAAGTAAAACGCTTTTAAAATGAGCCTTGGTTTGTTGTAAATAAAACTTTTCTTTAATCAAAGATTGGATATATACCCTTTTTAGATACTGAAAAAGCGTTTCTTGATGTTTATACCTATAAGGTTAAGGTAAATTGCCCCTCATCTAACTCATAACAATTTAGTTTTCAAAAAAAAATGCTAATGCTGCATTTAGTAACTGTATTTAAATAACTCATTTGAATTTGCTCACATACGTTTATAGTTTGATGAAAATTCAAATCCTGCTTTAATGATTCACATTCGCGCCCGTACACCAGTGTGTTTACGCATAGGGGCATATGAACAACAGCCAAATATATTTCACAATAAATGGCAGCACGTCGTAGCTGATATTGTACAAAGATGGCTGTTTTACCGAAGGGGACCGGCTTACCTGTTTTCGCCCTATGGTTATTTAGACCAGAGAATCAAATCAATTGAACGAATTACTATAGAAGTTTAAGTTGCTTTCATTGTAAAAAATAATTCTTCTTTAAAACTGTATGTTTGTTGAGATCAAGAAAAGAGAATTTTTGAATTAGTTGATAGATATGGTGTGTCTTAATGTGAAACCTTTGCACTTAAAGGATAAAAAAACTAATAAATGACAGGATGCAAGTTCTGGTATGTCTTGTTAGAGAAAGCAGTTCTGATAATAACATTCACTGACCTTTGTTTGTGTACTGGTGGCTCAGAGAAAAGTCTGAGGGCCTATAACGCTAAAAATAGGGTTTTTATACCCGCAAAGGGCAAAGCACAGATTGCCCACTTCAGTAGCTTTGCGCTTAACAACAAACAAACAAAAAAACGAGCAGTGTAGATACAAAAACAAAACAGAAGATTTCAATATATTAAAATTTATGTTTCGTGTTATAAAAAAAGTGTTATTTCAGACGGAATGAAAGTTATACTTTTTTGTATAAGAAATCAACAGAACCTTTAGAGTGGTTTCCATTTCAGGTTTGAGAAGTTCAAAACAAAGAATCCTTTGGATAAAAAGAAGACTCTAATATGTTATATTAAAGGAAAAAAATCGAGAAGAAATGAAACGATTTAATGCTATATATTAACTTGTTTAAGCAGAGTAATACTTATAGCTGAAATAACGTAAAAACAATTCTCATGGACGGATTGAAAATAATGAATTACTAAAAACTAAAAGGAAACTCTTGATTTGTAAAGATTACAAGTTGTAAACTATCTTACTGGGGAAAATGGCCCTATTAAAGAACTTTTAGCAGTAGACATTTTTTTATAAAAAAAAAAACTTTTAGTTTCGAATTATTTGTTACGTTCTTCCTGTTGACACTAAAAATACAGAAGGTTAGTGCAAATTCAACTTTCTGTTTCAATTTACTTACACACACGTATTTCAAACCAAGTAATAGTTTTTTGATCGGAGTAAACAGCTCCATATTTTAATTTCATAGCTTATTTTCATTGATGAAACAACTTTTTTTTCCGTTAGCACAAGTATACCAGTTTATGTGGAATAAGAAAAATGTTAATTTCGAAAAATTAATGGAGTTCTATATTCTACCATTCTGAACTGATCGAAAGATTCAATTTGTTTTCCATAAGTGAAGTAAACTTTTGCTTTTGTCGGATCAGAAAAATAATATGTGGACAATTTCAGATTCTCCCTTTAGTTAACCGAACAAAAGTCATGTTAAAATGTTCTGATCAGAAAAAAATGCTGTCAACAGGTCAAACCAATAACAGCGAATCATTTGATGAAACAATAACCAGAAGCGAAATTTTAAATGCTTACCAGTATACATATATATATTAATTTGCTTATTTATTCGAATGAATTACCGATTTTAGTTTTTTTTAAAGGAAAAGCAAAACATGGACTGAAGAGAAACTTGTATCCATTTAAATTTCTTGTTGTTCCGTAATAAAGGCTTTAACTTTATTTTATATTCATCTAAACGGGATTTGCTGCCTACTATTAGAAGGATCAGCTTATTTGGATACTTTGAAATTTCTTGTTGTTCCGTAATAAAGGCTTTAACTTTATTTTATATTCATCTAAACGGGATTTGCTGCCTGCTATTAGAAGGATCAGCTTATTTGGATACTTTGACATTTCTTGTTTGATGATAAAGAAAAAGAAACGTAGCTCTTTCATAAGAAATTAAGTTTATGGTTTTTAGGGCCGAAAATAAAATTGTGAGACAGATTCTGTGTTCAAGAAGTTTTTACCAGGGAAAACTGAATTGTTTTAAAAATTAAAGTATTTGGTTTGATTTACAGATAAGAAAATGGACTTAACAAAATTTCTTGTTTTTGGATTGAAGAAAACAGATGATTTAGACAGATCGAAGATTAGGTATATTATTATTATTATAACTATTTTGGATAAAGTCAAATTGATCTGACTTGATGTCGAAATAGAGGACTGAGAAGTATCCGAAATTCTAATATGATAAGAATAGAAGATGTAATTCAAACGTTTGTTTATTTTGTTGTTCTTATTTTATTATGTATAGAAAAATGTTCATTATTAAGTTAAATTTATTTTATTTTCCATTTAAATTTTATGATAATTTATAAATTAAGACTCTTTGTTCATACTTAATAATTCTACTCTGTTATATTTGTGTAAAACAGTAATTTTTTGCTTAGAAGACTGTTAAAAATCTCCCCTCATAACAGCAGAAAAAAAACAGTTCCTTCAGAGAGTTGATTGATCTGGTTTGTTTTCGAAAAGAAGATTAAAAGTTCTAGTCTGTTATATATGAGGAAACCAGCAGCTTTGGATAATGCCAAAATTTAGATCTGTAAGACTAGGTAAAAACAAAAAGTATCGAGCAAAATGGTTCTATTGGAGAAATGTTAAGCAAAGTATTGAAAATAATTAGTGTTCTATAAATATCAGAAAAATTGGATTTTTCAAGATATTGAGGGTGTAACTGTTTCAGACAAGTTGATAGTTCACGTATTCAAAGTTACTAAAAGAATATTCTTTAAACACATCTTATCTTATGTCTTGTTTTTCCATAATCTCCATACTCTATGGAAGTAAACCCACGTTTGAAATAAATGAAAAAATAGGAATTTGTAATTTTTTTTAAATACAGTTTAACTATTTCAAGTGATTGATCATATAATTCCTTGTGATGTGTATGATAAAAATATCTTACATACGTTCTAAGCTGTATAACTCAATTTTCACAAAGAACAGTAACATTAAGAGTTGTTAACAAGAAAGAGAAAGGTACATTCAGAATCAGGGATAAGTAGGAGTACTTGATTTAGTGAATGAGCGAAAAAATGCTTTCGTCGGTAATATGTTCCTTTTTCTATATTCCACAGTTAATAAACAATCACATGAATGTTTTCAATAGCAAATCTACTTTCATCTAGTTTAAAATTATCATGAACCTCATTTTTTCTTGCTGGAACTTCAGTCAACCACGTTCTCTAACAAACCTTGTAACAGAATATATACACACACGACAGTAACAATGTTCAGTGCAGGGCAGTAAAGGAAGTAATGAAGTGAATCCAATTCCACTGATGCTTAACACCCCATGTTGTTTTGACACTGACAAGTTCCACAAGAAAGCTTACCTAGAACAGTGAGATTAAAGAAGTGACTGATTTTCGGGTCGGAGCTGATTTGACATTCATACAAGCCAGCATCACTCAGCTGAATAAACTTAATCTGTAACACCCAATCCTTGGCAGCCTGGATAAGGACGGCTTGAAAACGGTCGTCTGCGATATACGTATCTGAGCCAACAGTCAAAACATGAAAATCTTTTCTTCGAATCCAAGAGACCTGCAAGAGGAATTACCCAAAGGTTTAACCTTTTTAATACGTGTTACCTTAGTGAATTTATTATAATCCAGTGTTTCATGTTAATTTTGTTAACCTAAGAACAAAAAGAAAATCATTTGAATGTTAGTGTCAGTATTTTAAGAGTATTCAGAAAATATTTAACTATTATTTAATATACTGATTTCCTGATTGATTAGATGCAGTGAATTGAGCATTTCGTCTATCTCTTTGTAACGTTGACTTCAAACGTCTTTTCCTTTACAGTGATTTTAATGACTTCTTTGTAGCTATAACTACACATTTTTGACATTTATATAGCTCTGATTCCAAAGATGACAACTGTTAATGGAAACCTAGCGGCCTAGCAACGCGCCCTCTGATGACAATATTTGGTACTATGATATCATGGCCGCCTGTCATAGAGGCCTGGCAACTTATATTTAAAGAACGTAGAACTATGCCCTTGCCATCTTTCATGACATCACCCCCTCTCCCCCTCCCCAACTTCCGTTTTCATGTGTCATGGCGGCATGCCAAATTCCTCCTGTGAAGAGCAGGTCTTACTACTCACTACATTGTCGTTATAAATTATTTTTGAATTATTAATCAAAATATTATAATAAAGTCTAGATATGTGAAAATGAAAGAATACAACGAATGTGGGAAATAGCAAAAAAGAAGTCTGCAAAGAAGTTGTTACAAAGGCTATCACGTGCGTACCTAAATACTTTTCACTAAGAGAACTTGTGGTCCTTAGTATTATAATAACTAATACATAAGGTAGATACAAAATCGTATAATTACTAAAGAAAACACCTTATCAAATCTATTTTTTTATTTACTCTTAAAACTTACCGAATAGATTAACACTTTCGGTTTATTATTGTATAAAAGGAAACGGAATATTTGAAGGCTATTACATTCTAAAATATCCTAAATCACGTGGATTTCATTAGTTGTGTTATATAATTTTCAATATTTCCCTTTACAAGGAAAAATCATTTGCAGGTGTTTTCATATAAACAATACATATGATCATCTTAAGTAGAGCGTTCGAAGGTCATACAACTTCAATATTTCTTCAGAAATTGTTACTTGTTACATCCTTGGAGTTGGATTTCAACGTCATCAGAATTCTTTACATTCATATTTTTTCCAAACAACTGATATTTATCTATAGACCAGATGTTTAAAATCGCCAGCAGAAGAACGCCCAACTCGAAATGTTGTGAATTCTATAAAAATCAGTTTATAATATACTATTTGTTTGTGGTATATATATATATATATTTTCCTTCCTTTTTGCGATTTCGATATGTCCAAAGACTACCATTTCAGCAAGAGAGTAAATATATTAGGCTAGATACATAGCAGTTCAAATTCTTTCATCAAATATTCAAGTGCTTTTTTTTTACAGATTTTTGATTTTAAAATGTATAATTATATCTTAGTTTTAATTCTAATATAATAAGTCACATTATTATTAGATAGCTTTGCCCCCCCCCCAGTGGCACAGCTGTATGTTTGCGGACTTACAACGCTAGAATCTGGGTTTCGATACCCGTGGTGGGCAGAGCACAGATAGCTCATTGTGTAGCTTCGTGCTTAATTAAAAACAAAAACAAAACAATAGATAGCTTTAAGATAAAACCCTTTTATAAATAATTCTGACAGAAAGAAATCAAAATTATGACAATCTAATTATATTTAAAATAATAATCAAATCATTACAATGCCAATTTTGAGGTTTATTTTACTAAATATTCTATTATATCTGCAAAAGAAGTATAATTATAGAGTAATGATATTCTTGATCTAAATGGTTTACTATTGAATAATCGAAAATCTCTCTTTGTATTTCAACATTCTCGTATCGTCAGCCGATTCAATTAATGTGAAAGCAAATATTAGACACAACTCACCACTGAATTTGAAAAACTCAAAAATAATTTCAGATCCAATCACACCAGCCTATATCAACTGAAACCACGGCTTTGACCTTAGCAGCTTCTGAACAATCTCTTTCACCATACTGCTACCATTTCAGAACGAATCACACCAGCCTATATCAACTGAAACCACGGCTTTGACATTAGCAACTTCTGAACAAAGTCTCTCACCATACTGCTACCATTTCAGAACGAATCACACCAGCCTATATCAACTGAGACCACGGCTTTGACATTAGCAACTTCTGAACAATCTGTCTCACCATACTGCTACTAATTAGAATGAATGTACAAATGAGGACATGGGAAAGAACTTTATCAAACTACTGCGTCAATGAACTAAAAGACATTAAACAGTTAACAAATCTGTCTATCCGTTTTATATCACAAGCGGAGAGGAGGGAAATTATTTAATTTAAATAATTAAAGAATTAAATCTACTCACATTAACAAATAAGTTTTATTTCAAATTGAATAAGGCCTCAGTATAAGAGCCGAAACTTCGTCCAATTCATTAAGACCAAAACTATACAAATATTATTTACTGACTAATAACTATTAAATTAAAACCACTAAGTGGTATAAACATTAATTTCAAGAAACAAACTGTTACTAGAGTTTTTGCATTGTTTTGTTTTAATATTATATTTTTGAAAACACTTCTTACTGTTTTTTTATAACACAAACTATATAGTTGTTTTATTACTGATATACTCCATAACTAACATCAATCGGAATTATTTTTGGTGCTTCACCAAGCTAGAATTAATGTTCCTTGGTATTGTTCTAGAGGAAAAATAGTTCGCCCGAGCATGCACAAGTAGAATAGTTTATTACGACTACATGCATATTCTGTAGTGAAATAGATGATGCTAAAGGAACATAACGTTCCTTCTTGACTTGCGTGGACATTTAGGCACGTTATACTGGATCGACGCCAACGTTCTTTAGTGGTCTAGTAACATGTGCTGTACCAGTCTTCTGAAGCTATAGTTATATACAACTATATCAGATAGCTGAGCAATTCGTATGAGAAAGATATATTGCTTATGATTATATTAATAAAAGAATGATGGATTGAAATACTAGAGTACATTCTTGGAAAATCATACACAAAACAGCACAGACATTACTGTGTAGTCGTTACATGGAAATATATTCTAGTTATCTAAAAGTATGCAACAGAATCTGGTTTCAAACTTTAAAGACCTCGGGAACATGTCAAAATAATCCATATTATATTTTGGGCCAATTTGACATTGTGGTGTCAAGCGAACCCAACGTTATGAGGTGAACCAATGTGAAAATTTGGTCTCAAAACATATGTTATCAGGTGGGCCGATGTAAGATTGCAGTGTCAAAATATCCCATCACTAACTATAAAAGGCTCATTCCATCTGTCACTCTGTCGAGAACATTTTCACGCTCCTTTTTTAGTAATGCTCAACAATACACATCGTCGCTTAGCAACAAAACAATCGCCTGATTGTTCTTAGGCCAACTATTGTGTTTATGTTGAATGCTCAATATTCATGTTGATTTGTTAGGAAGGTTTGTTTTTAGTCTTTTTTTACAACTCTGGTGATATAACAGCAAAATAGTTTAATTCAGAAGTTTGATGACATCAAGTTGTAGCCAAAAGCAAAATAAAATTCACCGAGTATTGTTTCAGTTAAGCCTTACGTTGCCTAACGCTTAAATTAGACTACAAATAGGCCTACTATTACTAACGTTATAGAGCCTGTATAAAAAGTTTTAAGTTGTGAATAAATGTTTATTAATAATTTTGTTTTTGTATTTTAACAAATATATTACTTACTTGGCCTTAAAACATAAAGAAAACTAAACGTTTATTTTATCCTTTTGTAGAGTCGAAATAGTTGAAAATTTGTGTTGGAATGTCCACACTTGTTTTCTACTTCCTGATCTATAATACAGTGAAAAGACTCAATAGTGCTAGTTAAGGCTCTTTCAGAGTGCATCCGTACTTTTGTTCACGATAACATTTCATTTTTCTAGATGGTCTTTACTAAAAAAGTGTTGATTAAAGAATTACTTCGGGACTGATGAAATAAGTGAAGAGTAAGTGCATTTTGGTACAGACATATTCGCTTTAGTTGAATTCTATAATTTTCGCTAATCATTCAACAATGGTTTCTCGTCATTTTTCACGGGCTTTAATACTAGTGGTATAATGTTACCCAACGTGATATCATGGCGTCAAAATATTCCACGCTGTTACCATTAGGGTAATTATTGATTTTTAGTACTAGACTACTCAATGGGCTATTTGCGCATTGTCTACCACGGAGAGTCGAACTCCGGATTTTAGTGCTGTAAATCCGTGTCAACTTACCTCTAACCCACCGGGAGACTTTGTAACTTGTAACAAATATCCAAAAAAAAGTCAATATTCTGTACCAAAATTTCAGGCAAACTTTAGATTTAAACTTAAATAAAAATCTTAAATACCAATATATATATTATTACGTCTCCGTTCGTTCGTTCATTTTCCGTAAATTTGTTCCGACGAAACTTTAGCGACACAAGTCCTTTCTTAAATAAAACTGGTTTATTCTTTCCGAATACAACTTTACGATACACTTAATTTCAACAGTCGCTCTATAACAACGCTATAACTCACGTCTCACGTGGCCAACAATATTCTGTCCGCATACATTCAATTACTCATTACCTTGTTCCATCACGTTGTGAGCGTCTTATATATACCAGA